AAAAAAATATAGACCTTTGGTATAGGTTAATTACAAACATCTACAAACTTCTCAGGAACTGTTTTCGAACAATTCGTCAAACATTTTACAATTATTACCTCCCCCCCCCTCCAAAATGTCCGCAGGGGGTAGGTTCGGGAGGGTTCGGAGCGGGGTACGATATAACCGGTTTCTTACATACTTTTATTTTTCACCCCCCCCTTCCTAAATGTAAAAATTTTAAGCTTCGGAAAACTACGTTAAGGAGGGGGTCCATACTTACAATTAGCAAACCCCTACGTAAAATTTCCGAAGGGGGGCAAAATTACAATTTACATTTTTAATACGTCCCCCTAGTTTCAATTAGCCTAAAGGGGTAGTAATGTTAGATATCGTTTCGCTTCGCTTCACTACAAAAAACAACATCACACTACACTACACTCCACAACACTGCAACTACAACAACGCAACTCTCCACTACACTCCACTACACCAAACTACACTACGCTACACCACACTCCACTACATTATACTACACTACACTACCTTCCACTACACTTAACTACATTACACTACATTACACTACACTACACTGCACTATACTACAACTACAATTACACAACCACATTCCACTACACTACATCACAATACACTGCCTTCCACTACACTTAACTACATTACACTACATTACACTACATTACACTACATTACACTACACTACACTACAATCCACTACACTACAACTACAACTACACAACTACACTCCACTACACTCCACTACACTAAATTACACTAAACTACACTACATTACACTACACTACAACTACAAATACACAACTACACTCCACTACACTCCATTACACTCCATTACACTCCACTACACGAAATTACACTACACTACACTGCATTACACTACACTACACTCCACTACACCACATTCCACTACACTACACTACATTACACTCCACTACACTCCGCTACACTCCATTCCACTCCACTACACTAAATTACACTACACTACACTACATTACACTACACTACACTCCACTACAACTACAACTAGACAACTACACTCCACTACAATCCATTACACTACACTACACTACATTACACTACACTACACTACATTCCACTACACTCCACTACACTACATTACACTACATTACACTGAATGACACTGCACCACAGATAGACAGGTAGACAGATAGATAGATAGACAGATAGACAGATGAAAGGGAGAGATAGAATGATAGAATGATAGAATGATAGAATGATAGATAGATAGATAGATAGATAGATAGATAGACAGACAGATAGATAGATAGATTGACAGATAGACAGGCAGATAGATAGATAGATAGATCGATCCATAGATAGATAGATAGATGGCTAGACAGACAGATAGATAGATAGATAGATCGATGGATCGATAGATACATAGATCGATACATAGAGAGATAGATAGATAGATAGATAGACAGACAGACAGACAGATAGATAGATGGATGGACAGGCAGACAGATACATAAATAGTCAGAGAGACAGCTAGAGAAATAGATGGAGTCAGTGACTTCGCTCTGCCATCCGTGATTCACAACAACCAACCTCTCCTATAGGTTTCCTATTTTTGAAACTTCCGCCACCGCCTTGTGTGGTACTACTGGTATTTTAAAAAATATATACAATATATTATATCTCAAATATCTATATATATATAATTTCAAATATACATATATATATATATATATCATTTAAATATATAAATCAAAAATAAATAAACATATATATATACACACATATATATATATACTTAATTAATATATGAATCCTAAAATTCGGGTACCCCCAAATCAGGCATTGCGATGCGAGTTGTTCTGCCAAAAGTTGCAGTTGAGTCGACCTCCCGAAGCACCAATTTTCGGGAAAATTTCGCGGTTCAGTCAAAATCCCGAAGTACCAATTTTCCGGAAAATTTGCCATTTTTGGAAATTCCTAAATCGCCAAATTTCCGTGAAAATTCGGGGTTTCGTCCGAAATTTCCGGAAAAATTGGGACTTTTGGCATAATTACATGATTCATGTATTGGATCAATTCCGGCTACAAGTGTCGGGTTTCCGACAGGGGCGCCCACTTTTTCGACAGGCGCTCCGTTTTATGTAATAATAATATTGAATATTTTTATTTACAAATAATTTTTAATTTGTTATATTGCTATAATTTAAATTTAAAAAATGTAAATATATTATTTTAATTTTTTTTTTCCCCAACCCCCCAATAGCTCTAATAAATATATTTCGTACCGCGCCTGCCACGGAAAATACATCTTTACAGATCCTTTTCAAATATCCCACACCTATCATCGTTTTTGGAAATACACAAAATCCTTACGTTTTTCTCATTACACGATACCTTGCGCCTGCCTCTCAAAACGCCGCTTCAACGTCCAAAAGCGGCGCGTACATGTCATGTTTTGTAAATTTTAATTTCGAAATTTGCTTCGCGCCACAACGGCGTGCACTTTTTCGACATCTCAATTTCCAAAAGTGCTCTGAGCCCGTCAGTTTTTTTACACTTTTGACTTCAAAATATATTTCGCGCCACAACGGCGTGTAATTGTTAATCTCTCATCTAGCCAGCTAGCTCCGCACCCGCCGCTTTAGCGAACCTACTTTTCGACTCTCCTGAGCCACAAATCATGGGGAAAACACAATGTTTCGCGACTTTCCTACCTCTTCGCGCTTCTGGATCTTCTTTCTTCGGAGACTTTCTCTTTTTCATCTTCTTTCTTCTTCTCTTCTCTTTTCTGACTCTTCCCATCTCTGCTTTTCATCTGTCCATTTTGTCGGCGGTTCAACTTCTAAATTTCCTTCGAAAATAAATAACATAAAATTGCAAAAAAATGTGTAAAAATGTATGAGACATGCGTAAAAATGCGTAAAATACGCATAAATTCCAAAAAATAATAACTACGGTGGATCTAAGGGTTATGGGCGCATAAATTCGTATATTTTCAATGTAAAAATCATGGAATTAAAAAATCGAGCAACCATTTACTTAAATGCACCTAGAATTTCACGCGCCCAAAAGTTATTCTGGCAAGAGACCCTAAACAGTGCGCAGCTAGGATTCTAAAGGGAAAATTGGAAAGGACCTAAAATTATCAGTGGCTGCAAGCTAGCATGACAAGAGCGGCCTTAATAGTGAGAAGAAACGATACCGGGTCAGAGGTTCTGCAAGTGTGAATGAAGATCTCTGTAGAAGATCGTGCGCAACCTTGAGAGGTTCTCTGTAGAAGCTGCTGTGCAAGATCCCTGTGTAAGGCTATCTGTACAAGGTGTCTATAGGAGATCTCTGCAGAAGATCTTTGTAAGGGATCTCAAAGTAAGATCTCTGTTCAAGCTCTCTATCTACGATCTCCGAGCAAGACCTCTACTCTCTTCACCAGGTCTTTGCACAAGACCTCCAAAAGAGGTCTCCTGGCAAGATTTGTGTACAAGATCTCTATAACAGCTCTCTCTGCACAGACCTCTGGACAAGATGTCTACAAGAGATCTCTCGGCAAGATCTCTTTATGAAATCTCTGTACAAGCTCTCTATACAAGCACTCTTGGCAAGATTTATGTAACAGACCTCTTGGCAAGATCCCTGCAACGGATCTCTATGCAATGTCTCTGTACAAGGTCTCCAGAAGAGGTGTCCTGGCAAGATCTCTGTACAAGACCTCTATAAGAGGTCTCTTGGCAAGATCTCTCTGAGGGGCCTCTTGGCAAGATCTCAACGGATCTCTATGAAATGTCTCTATACAAGATCTCTTAATGAATGAAATCTCCTGTGCAAGCTCTCTAGAAGAGTTCTCCTGGCAAGACTTATGCAAGAGACCTCTTGGCAAGATCCCTGCAACAGATCTCTATGCAATGTCTCTGCACAAGATCTCCAAAAAGAGGTGTCCTGGCAAGATCTCTGTACAAGCTCTCTCTAAGAGGTCTCTTGGCAAGACTCTTGAAGAGATGTCTCTACAAGAGATCTCCATAGAAGATCTCTGTGAGAGATCTCAAAGTAAGATCTCTCTTCAAGCTCTCTATATATAGAAGATCTCTGAGCAAGATCGCTGCTCTTTTCACCAGGTCTCTCTGTACAAGCCTCTATGAGAGGTCTTCTGGCAAGATCTCTGTGAGAGCTCTGTTGGCAAGATCTCTGTAAGAGGTCTCTTGGCAAGCTCTCTGCACAAGATCTCCATAAGAGGTCTCTTGGCAAGATCTCTGGACAAGCTCCCTATCAGAGGTCTCTTGGCAAGCTGTCTGTGCGAGATTTCTCGCTTTGCACAAGCCTGCGCAGTCAAAATTGCAGGACATGTCACAAGAGTTATTTAAAATATGCAAAAAATCACAAGGAAAATGCCGCGCCCCCGGACCGCGACTCTTGTTTTGTGCGAGCCTGCGCAGTCGAAAGGCGCATGGGCATGTCACAAGAGCCATTTTGTGTGAACATTTACAGGGAATATGCTGAACACTAAGAACCCCCTCAGTGTGGCCATACTGTTTGGGGAATTGCGCTACAAATGAGTCCTGGTATATTTGAAAAAGTGATTTTAAAGATTGCACCCTTTTGTGGCTTTTGCACAAATCTTCCAGGCTGGTGCAACTTGGCTGAAGATGCCAAGAGACCGCGAGCGTTTGCTAAATGCAGTGAAACTTGGAGCCTTGCACTCTTTGGGCATTTCCAGCATTCAAGATATTCAAGAGAACGCCGAAGGCCTTCAGTAAACGTCTCTGACAGTGGTCCTGCGTGTCCTCACACTCTGTCATCGTCGAAATGCCATTTCGACCTGCCGCGTAGCAAGTACTAAATACCACTTGAGAGCAAGCGGGAGGAAAGGCAAGGTATGTACTTCCTAGGGCGGGTTGTAAAAGAGGAGCGGCGAGTGCGAGCACACATTTTTTGGTTGGTCCCGTCAGGATCGACGCATCACATTTTGCTTGAACACAGGTGCAACATGGCAAAACACGGCATGTACAGTAGTTTATGTGGATGAGATTCAGGCCAAAACATCGAGCAATGATGAGGACACGCGGATAAAGGTGATGCTGCTGTTGTTATTGTTGATGATGCTGGTGGTGGTGATGATGATGGTCAAAAATGATTGGGATGCTATCCAAGATTGTGAGGATACAAGGTGAGGACGATGATGAAACCAGGAGCAGGAGGAGGAGAATAACACTCCTAAAAGCGAGCCATGATGAGCCATGCAGGGCAAAAAAACAGAACATTGCAATACATTGCATGCAAACACCTCTTCGAACCTCTACCACTTGGCAGCAGCAACATCCGTGAAGAAACCAGGAATCACAACCATTTGCAGGGGTGTGGCCCAAAGTGAAGAATCCTTTCATAATCGAAAAAATATCCCCCTGTGTCGTCCTTTGCCGTGAAAAGTAAAATGTGCTAAAACATGCTAAAACTAAAGCAAGCAAAACTCAGGTAGATGAGGCTACCTTTCGTGAACAGCTCTTGGACAGCCTTTGAAGAAATGATCCACAAACAGCAGCACAGCATGACCCCTACCCACTGCCACTGAGAGCGTAGCAGCTTTGGTGATCTGTGTCCAACCCTCGCAACATAAGACGCGTCATCCTGAAGCATATTCTATCTTCAAGTCCCACGAACTTCAACTTTGTGGTTGCGGAAAAGCTGAACTCTGCCAGACCTTTTTAGCAATCCTATGCAAAAGCCTCTAAAATGCTACTGCACCATCATAGTTGTTTTTTCCGTGTTCTTTTCATTTTCTTCCATGGTAACAGTATGTAACAGTTTCCTCCCTCTCGGATCTCTTGTCCTTGGGACGCACTTTCTCTTGTGCACTGCTGAGCATTGATAGGATGCTCATGCAAACGGCGTGGACCTCAGGCAATGCTTGGCTGCACTCAGGGGCCAAGAGGACCTAGGTATTGTATGGTATTGTTATATTAAATTTATTTAAATTTGTTAAATATTATTCACATCATTTCACATCTACTCACAGCAACCAATATCATATTGCGTGTCCCAAGTCATCGAAATCAATCAACGCATTGGTCAAAACAAGGACTGCGCAGTCAATGCCGGACTCCATGCGTCGTAGAGTATCGACAAGCAAATGTGCCTGGCGCTCAAGAAACACGGCCTCTTTAGTCACTAGTGGGCCAGTCACATGCATCATGCAGCCCATCCCGTCATCCCAGCGCACCCGTTCGAATAGATATGAGGATGCATTGGGGAGCCACCCTCGAAGACGACCTACCACAAGCTGTCTTGTCATTTGCCAACGAACTTGCTGACATGCAGCTGTACATGTTGTCCAAATCTCTGCAGCGATTGACGCTGAATAGCCTCTGGACTCTCAAAGGGATAGCCTGGCTGATGCTTTCCCAGATCCAACGAAATGAGCCGTGGCAAAAGCACCTCTTAAACTTCGACAAATTTGCAAACGAGTGGCGCGCTGGAAAGCGAAATCGAAGCATGAAGTTCTCACCAGCATAAAGCGTCCCAGGGGCTGACAAGGTGAATCAAATGAGCAAATTTGAGCGAGCAATACATTTCACATGGGTGATTGGTGGTGAATGGTAGTGGCATTCAATGGCCTCCCAGTACTTGGATTCTGCAGCTCTCAGCATCTGGATAATCATGAACGCAGATTCCATCCTCACGATAGACAAGGTCATACCAAAAGCATTCAAAAGCACAACTTCCACTTCAATCCCACTGGTATTTCCGAACCTCGACAGCCATCACAAAGAGATTCAACTTATAAACACTCCCAATACTTTCTGCTCGTGGATTTGCAACATATTTGTAACATTTTGATACATTTTGTAACAATTACCTTGGGTCGTATGGATTTGGGCAGACTAAATCTGACCTGGAGTTGAGGGGTCCTCGCCAGCACGTGCGTTCAGGCTTTCCAGTTCCTGAACGTCTGTGGCAGCATGCGGCAGCTGTTTAAACAGGCAGCCCATGCTGATACCCGGCTGGTTGCCATGACAGCTGCTTGATAAAACCAAGCAACATCAAGCAACATGATGAAGCAACATGATCAAGTCTCCCCGAGTGTCGACAACCAAAGTTGTTCGAGGGGCAACAGAAAGCAACGCTATTGATGATAAACAATGATAAAAAGGGATGCAAAAAAACACACAAGTCGAACCCAAGTCCAATCTGAGCTAGTCTGCCTTCTGCACACGTTTTTGAGGAAAGATCGGCCGCATGCGCTCACCTTGGCAAAATCGTACGTCAAAGTGTTCGGATTCAAACACGGATTGACTCTGGCTCTAGCCTGACATCGCAGCATCTAGGGCCTAGTGGAAGATCATGGCCTCCCATAGCTTCTGAAAGTCTCTACGTGCCGAGAATATCGATACTGCAATGAATCCAACATTCAGAACAAGGATGAACAAGGAACAACTCCACCATCAAGTCTTGATATGTCTTGATAGTGAATAAAGCGGTCAAATGTGAGCTCGGCATTTTTTGGCCTGCACTGTACGTAAGGCCATGAATGTCACTAAGCACAGAGCAAGAATGATGTCAAATTGTAGTCTGAGAGTGTTGGGTACTACCGCCAGAACACAATGCAAGATGTATCTCTATGTGATTGGATCTCTTGCAGATGACCCAACTACGTAATGCAAACGGAGAGCTTGATAGTTGCTAGGGATGCGAAAACGTTTTAAACATGCTTGAAGTGCGAGACAGTTTTTAGTGATGTTTGTTTTCTCAGTTTCAACAAATACATAGGCTAAAACAGAGGACAAAACTTCGCCACAAGCTAGAGTCTCTAAGTAAATCTAAGTACTTAAAGTACATGTAAAAACTGAATACTGTGATCAGTCGGATGATCAGTCGGATGATATCAGTCGGATGATCCAATGATCATGGTATCTTGTTATCCTTGTTCAGTCGGATCCTTGGAGCGCTCGGGCAAAGCACTGCAATTTCATCCGGATTTGCAGAGCTCAAGCTGAATCTTTGCGCAGGAGGCGTTGCTATGCGAAGCAAGTGACTTGCAGTATCTTGCGGACGTCTTGCAGTAACCTGATGTAACCTGTAGGCGATGCAGAGAAGATCCAACAAGTGAAAATCGCGGCTGACGTCTCTTTGAGATGCGAAGCGGCCCTCGGCTGCCCTCGACAAGAGTCTATCAAGGGTGGCCGTGCTCTTGCAACGGAGCTTTTAAGAAAGGACGCTTGCACAGCCAGTTCACAGTTTCCACAAATACCAACGAACGAGATTTGTACAGGGCTTTCCCAACTGGTGTGATCAATTTCAATTCCATGAAAAGCAAACCAAAAGCTCATCCAGAATCATCCAAAGTTGTATTTGTCTGTCATTCCTGTCAAAATGTGAAAGCTGTCCCTGGCTGCTATATGGGTTGTTCACCAAACCCACGTTGCTTTGCTCACAGGGGCTGCAATGGTTGCTGCCAAGTGAGAAATGTGGACCAAGAGTTGTCCTTGAGCCTGGCTGTCTAGAGGGGAAGGAGATTCTGCAAGAAGAAACATTGAACGATTTGAACGTATAGTGAAACAGGATGAAACGCATAGTGAAACATGTCTGTTTGTAAAAAGTCAGTTTTCTTTCAATGCCTTCCACTCCTTCGATGAATTTGTTTGAAATCTTGGACAATGGCAACAGCTTTGCTGTGAACCTTTGACATGGTCAGAGTGATGCTTGGAAGCAAGACAACCAATTTGACATCAATTGGCACTTCTTTAGGACGATTTCATATTGTAGACATGTTTGGCAAAGTAGGAACCAAGATTCTGCTGCAACACCTGACAATAGGCGAAGAGTGCTCTAAGAATCAGGGTCACGTTGAAAACCAAGGCCCGAGGTGACGCTGGCGCCTTGTGACGCCGCGAAGTGAACTCAGTTTCTACATTGATGGTCAAGTCCAAGCAAAGACGGAAGCTGAAGGTGCAGATCTACAAAAAAGTCCAAACATAGTCACTGGCAAGGACATGCAGAATTCATAATTTATAATATACAGATATACAATGACATTACATATATATATATATGTATAATGATCAAGAATTCAAGGATCCAGCATCCTTCAACTGTATTAAAATGGCTACCGCGCTGATCTCAGGGATACATGGAAACACGATACTCATGCAAGCGGTATCTGTCCACAGCCAACAACTGCAACATGCTAGCACTGACTGAAAATTTTACGGCTCCCTTGAAAAGGCGGATCACCATTGTGAAACCAAGGATAGCTCAACAGCAGAGACAGGTTGGTGTGCAAACGGTTAAAACTGCGACTGGCACATGACTACACAAATATGTTGCCTCTGTTGGTGAATGTGCATGGTCCCCCCGTTGGGATTCCAGTCCTATTGATAAACCCATGCATGTCCCCACCATTGGCAAAAAAAACATATGTATCAATATTGTCCATTTCCCCCTTCATACTTACGGTGAACAGGTCCATCCTGGCTCTGTGGGAACCATGTGGAACCATCATCGCGTCTTCTCAAAAGTGAATCAGGGACTAGGAAAAACTCTTGGTGGGAAGCTTGATTCAGAAATTGCTAGAGAGAGTTGCTACAGTGAGGGGCTCTCGTTCATGGTAGGCTATGGTAGACTTCTGTTTGCTTTTACAGGCATTCATCTTAGTCCAGAAGCGTTTGTGGATAAAGAAGCTACTGCTGCGGATGCAGAAGTTCAGGATGGCAGGTACGGCATCACTTGAGTGGTGCTTTCTCAATTCCACCAGAGTTTCTCCATGTTAACTCTTCTTGCTACAATCAGAACTCCTGCTCTGCTGATAATTGGTTTGTTGGCTCCCATGCGCTTCAGAGCACCATCAACAGCGTCAGAAGCCTGCAATGCCATTAGGAATGAAAGGTCACTGAAAGATTTTGCTGGAAGTCAATTCTACGAGGGTTCAAACTCTGCTTCTGGTTTAGCGTTTGCAGTTTGCATATCATATGATGTCTGGCATGCAATTGAAGTGGACGCTGCAGTAGTTTCACTTGGCTGCTTGTACAAATCGCTTCAATTTCTCTCACATTCTCTCACTCCAAGTATAAATTCCTGTTCTTAAATTCTCTGTAAGGGACTCCAGCATCCAGAAACAATGCTGCTTTCCAACCTTGGCACAGATAGGTGGTGTGCCTTTTTAATGTCTTATCTCGTCTTGTCTAACCTCGTTGGTTCTCATACATGTTTGCTCTTTGGATCATTGACACAGAAGTCTATCGCGTAGTTCGGCTTAGTTGCTTCGACCGAAAGCCTTGCATATCAACTATAGCTTGATCAGCTGCAGCATTTCCCTCTGGCTCAAACCAGGTAAACCAGGAACTTTGCCCTGTTTTATGGCTCAAACCTTCCAGCCGGCTCCCGATTTGGGTGCCAAGGCTTTGAAGTTTCAGGAGCAAATGCGTCATGTCACGCACAGTGTCATGGATTGCTCCTTGTTTTTCCTCTGTACCTGACTGTGTCTTGTCAGCTACACTCAGCAATTGCACAATTTTTCGGCAGCTTCGCTGTTGAGCCGATACATTTGCATTGCAATCTCTTGTGCCATATCCTTCTGAGCCACATCGGAAAAGTCACATCCAGTCTAGCAAATCTAGTATCGCAAAAATCGAGTCGGTCAAAAAGGAAATACAGAGCATTCCGCATTTTCGGAGTGTCAGTCTCAAATCTTGCCAGCCATGCTGCAGAATGCTTTAATTCAAATGGCGCAGTAGTGGCTTTGAGGTGAGCAACCCAGGAACTCTGCAACGTTCTAGCAGCTTGACTGCGTGGCATTCCCATCTGCTGTAGGATGTCCACGGTGACGTCTCTTTCATCTGCCAAAGCCAACTTCGGTCGGCCATGTGCCTCAGAGACAAAATGATCCCAGACATCGGTCAGTCGCATGCGTTCTTTTCGCTTTTGCCTCTGTCGCCTCCGGCGCATTATGAAACTGATCCGTCAAGGATTGAGCAGAAGCTGAGACTCTTTTTACATCCATGTAGTTGTCCAGAATAATGGCCAAGAGCATATTGAGCAGAATGATAGCACAAAGCACCATGAACATGGTAAACGGTAAACCACAATTTCATCAATAACATTAAATAGCCATGTGAGCCCAATCCCAATCTCCGAAAAGCATCCGAAAAGAGCTGTGCAAAGAGCGAAGCAAATTTCCCAAATGCTTCGACATCTCTGCCAAAAAGAAGGACCGCATTCAAGCAAAGGCACGCGATCACTGCCACTGAAACGAGTCCAAAGCGCAACAGGTCCTGATATGCAAATTTAACGGTGTCGGTCACCACTGGAAGTCGAGGCGGAGCTGCAAATGACTTGAAGAGACGCAAGAGTAGCAGCATGGGATAGAAACACAAAACCAATCGAAAACATTTCTCATCTGCCGAGGTTGTTTCTAGGGCCTAGGGCATCGTAGAAGGTTGCCACTTGGTCTACGCTAGTGGTGGCACTGGGATCCTCAACCATTTGGCCTAGTTGACTTTGAAGATTTCCTGTCTCCATGGCTAAGCTCAGCCACACGGCTATGACTGCAGCGGCTACACTGATGGACAGCCAGTAGACAATATTCCAAAATCCAAGATAGTCGTCGATCAAGGCTCGATGCCAACGTGACTCAGCATTTCTAATGACGCTGATGATTTCGATGATTTCATCGATGAAAATGTACAAAAGGCACGCGAGCCAAATTCCGGCAAACACCATCACTGGATATCACTGGAACATTGGCAGCAGTGAATTGAGAGAACTTTACCCAAACCGACATGAGTTCAACGCGCTTGCACATTGGGCCTCCACGTTGCAATCGCCACCTCAACTTGCTTAGTTCGCTCGGTTATCCAAGGTACTGGTGGTGTCTGTGAGCACCATTCACGGTAACAGGTTCGGTCACTGTGACGGCCTGGTCCAACATCCTTTGCAAGTCCATTGAGAGCAGGAGCCACTCTTGCCGCGGGGCATGGATAAAAACTTCACCATTCGATGTGTCAGGTTCAAAGTTTACCTCTTCGTAAGCAGGCATGCACGGCATGCACCCTTTTCATCTCTTTTCCATACCAGCGCCACAAGTTGGCTTCTCGGCTGGAAATTTACATGAAGCTTCAGGGGCTACCTGCCGGAATGGCACACCCATGATTCCATTGTAAATTGCAATGTAAATAGTCCCCGGCCACCGGAACTTGGTAACCTCCCATGTCCCACACACTATTAGGCACTGTATTGAGGTCAAACGCACTGGCAGCATCTTCAGCATGGCTTTCAGAATATGCCCAATTCGGCTGAATCACCAAAGGAAGGAAACCCAAACGCATCCACGACCAAAAATTGGGGATGGAATGCACGTCCTGCAATGTCTTGTGGCCCATGTACTCGTTGAAAGCAAAGTTGGCCAATTGCTTGCTCTATGGAAAGGACAACATGTTGGTTCAAAGCCAGGACTGCCATCAGAGTGAATGAGACCATAACCAAAATCATGAAAGGGAGTTCTAAGATGTTCTAAGCACGCCTCTTGACCCATTTCAGATAGATTTTCTGCGGCACTGTGACATCATGTTCCTCGAAGGACAGAGTATGTTTTGTCTTTCCAGCTTCCCAAGCATCCATCACTGCCGCAACGACAGGCTCACCGCAGCAAATTTGGCTTTCTTTGGCGCATGATTCGAGCTGGCAAGGCTTGCACCAGTTGGCTGCGAAAAACGATTAAAAACTCAAAATGTAATTTGCCGGACCAACAGTTCTCACATTGCATAGCTACATAGCGAACAAAGCCGTTGCATGTCTCAAAATATGACACTTGCAGTTGCGTGTCATTCAGCATTTCTGTGCATTTTTCAAGTGTCACACAGGAAGTTGCCATGCCTTTTCCTGGGACGGCGTGATCTCGCCAAACCTGGACCAATGTGGCAATGCTCTGGCGATGCGCCAGGATGAGTCAGTCTGATGTGGGTCTCAACGGTCTCAAGGACACACTGAGCACCGAACACCGTTAGGTGCCCTTCCGACACCCACCTTGCAGAGTCAGGCAGACGAGTCAGGGAGGGTGCGGGGCGGCAGTCCTTTGAGATCCTCTAAGATCTTTCAGTGTCTAAAGATGTACTGACATGTACTGACATGTACTGACATGTACTGACATGTACTGACATGTACTGACATGTACTGACATGTACTGACATGTACTGACATGTACTGACATGTACTGACACCTTGACATTGAACCTTGTCCCAGCAGCAAAGTTTTTTGAAAATGAGCAGAACTCAGACATCGGCGGCCAAGACTGGGCGCTTCTTGTGCGACGAGAAGAGCGACCTCTTTACATATCTTCCCATATCTTCCCATATCTTTAAATGGTTCCGCTATGTTCCGCTTGTGTCGCAGTCATGTCGTGAAAGTCGTGATATTCGACACGAGTCGACATGCTCCACAAAGACACTGAAATGGCCTCCCATCTCGACCAGATCCAACGCCTTGCACCTAAGCAAGGCAAAAAACTGAAAAAAACAACATGATTTGACAAAAAGAAACAGTTTCAAACTAAGAACCTGAAAGAAATGAAACTGCGAACCCCAAACGGGGGAAAAAACCCGAAGCAGCAGCGGCTGCCTCTTTCTTGAGCCATACAAAAGTGCGTGTCATTCGCTTGTGCAGGGGCCATGCCAGTGAGACGACTGAAGCATGTAAAACCCCTGAGACATGTGAACACTTCTTGATTTGTGCGTGTCCATCCAAATTGAAAATGCCACCACACTCCCCTATGTTGCGACACAGCAACATGTCGGTGGCAGCCCAAAAGGCAAAACTTCAGGAGCTATGGCCCGGCTCTCAAATGTCTTCCTCCTCATTCTCAGGGGTGTCAGCCGGGTGCCAGCTCTCGTCGGTCACCACAGAGTACTCATCGTCGCTTGGCTCTTCTGATTCCACTGCTTCTTCCTGGAAGCTCTCTTCTTCCAGCCCTTCCAGCGGGGGCTCGACCCTCCTTTCAGCGCAGTATGGCGCGCTCAAAGTGTGCACCACCAGCTCTGGCTTGTGGGCCCACGACTTCGCCACCGATCCTCTCGGAGTGGCTACTCCAGGGTCCCCACTAGCCGTCCAAGCACCCGGAATGGAGGTAGATCCCAAGCTCGAAGACGATGGCCCTCCAGGGTTTTCGGAAATCCTTGCAGCCCGAAGTGAAGCCAAAAGCGGATTGCCTCCATCTCGCGACTGCTCCGGGCTTCCCACAGGGATGACTCCCATTGGGCCTGCCCCCATCGTGGTTCGCCCTGCTGCGGTCACCTCTCCACGGCTACTTGCAGGTGGAGCACCCTTCCCAAAGACTGCACGTCCACGTTCTCCCGGACCAGGTCGCCCACGAGGAGGATCGGCTGCAGGACCAACCGGCGCTTGGTACCCACCCATCTTGGCCGTAGGTGCTCGATACCCATCCCCTCTCGGCGTCGGCGGAACACCAGCAGGAGGTGGGTGAGCACTGGAAACTCCTGCTTGATGAACAGGAGGAGGGAGAGGCTCATCATCAAAGCCCCAGGTCACCACATCCGGCCGCAACCTCGGAAGTCCAGAGCTGTTGCCACCAGCTTGGTTTCCCTCCCGAATCCTGAAGAAGGTGAACCCCTTCCACTGTTCAACTCCTGGGATAGGCTGACTTCCATAGCCCCAGGCATCTTGGTGAATCATCCTTGTCCACGGTCTCCCCCGCAGTGCCAGATCACGGTGGTCCTCTCCGGCTCCAGATCCTCACATCTCACCGGTGTGGTGGTGTGGACCGGGTGATAGAGCCTGGATCTGAGTCCACCATGCACCCGGACCCACCATCCTTGAGGGAGACTGCGCCAACGGTCATTGCTTCCTGTCGGCATCCCTTGAAATTCTGCACCATTCCAAGGACCATCCAAAGGTCCAGCAGCCATGGCTTGACCACGCAAGGCACACAAGCGAGGAACGGTCGGGGAGCCTGTGAGGCTACAGTCATGAGTAGGTTCAGTAGGGTTAGTAGGGCCTGGTTCATTTTCCCTAGGCCTCTTTTCTTGGTTTTGTGCTGGTCTTGGTTCCTTCTTTTCTTCAACTGGTTTAGCCATAGATGCCAGCCCTTCCATGCAACACATCCATGCTGTCAAGGCTGACAAGCTCACAGCTCCAGCCGTTTTCACAAGACTGCTCGCCCCATGTTGGAGCATCAAACCTCCTAAGGCTACCACCGCCTCTGTTAGGCGACACAAGCGAGAGGATTCAGTCGGCTGCACAAACCTAACTAGGCCTACAGTCCTACGAAAAACTTCCCAGCTCGTCATCAGCACCACAGGCTTCGTGAGGAGGTCTGCTGCAAGCTCTGAGCCAGGGGTGTGCTGAACCCGCCATTCTCGTGCTGCCAGTCGCTCCCTCAAGACGAAGCTTCTCAGTCTCAAATGTCTGGTTCTCCAAGGGCCATCAGGAGCCAAGAGAAGCTGGATCCCTGACAGGTTGTCTCCTCGGATCTCAAACTGGCCGCTCTCCACCAGGTCGTTGTGCTCCAACACATTGAGGATCACCTGCAAGGACTCACCCATCGTCAGCGCATCCACGTAGCCGATCAACTCAGCTTCAGTGCTGCTAAGGGCTGCAAAAGGCTGCCTTCGGCTTTCCCATTGGACCAAGGCATTTCCCCACAGCGCCAGGATTCCTTGGCACCCTCGAAGTCCTTGCGGAGCATGAGATGCATCGGAGAGAAGTGTCACCTTCCTCAAGTCACCATTCGGTTGCCCTTGATCATCCAGGCAACTGCCATAGGAAAGCACCATGTCCACGGTCTCCTGCAAGTAGCCCAGAACATGCCGACCCAATTCTTTGACTCTCCTTGGACATCTCGTGACCCATCCGCTCAGCGTGGAAATTGCAAATGCAAGGTCTGGTCTCGTTCTGCCACTCAGCCAGAGGAGTTCACCCAGCAGTTGTTGGCACTGCTTCACCGCATCAGGATCCGGGCTCTCCTCCTCTTCCGGGACCAAGTCGATCTTCGGCAAAGGGACCTGTCTGCCAGGAACTGGACCGTGGCGTTCCAACAGCTCCCGGGCAAAATCTGGCTGACCAAGCAAGAGGGTATCTCCTTGCCATCTCAACTGCATACCACAAAACTTCAACCACTGGGTATCACCAACCCATTCCACTTCAGAGCAGGTCCACTCCTTGCGAACCCTGGCCAACGTGGATTCAACGACTTCCCTGGGCCCAGCGCACAAGACATCGTCCACATAGACAATGAGGAAGCCAAGTGGGTTGGCATAGGCATCGTCATTGAGGTTTGGAGTGGGATACTGCTCCTTGGGCACTCCCATGATCGACCAAATGTTGGGCTCCGGCGATCTGGCCAAGTGA